ACACACACACACACACACACACACACACACACACACACACACACACAAAAGGGCTGGAAGGGCAGCCCAGTGGTTAAGGCATTGGGTGCTCTTCCAAAAAAACCTGGGCTCGATTTTTAGCATTCAAATGGTCCCTCACAACTTTATCTAACTCTTTCACTTACTTTTAAAAAAGAGAGAGAATGTAGATTTTCTGTAAGTAGGAGATACAGATCTCATGGTTTGTGGAGTGTTTCAGGGCAGCTGTGTTTCCAGATTCTAAGCTAAGGGTAATATTTCTCCTTCTGCTTCTGTGTACTACCACTGGCTCATGGTGACTCCTTGTTTTTCAGAGAGGATATGTACTCCCAGGATTCCATAGACCTCCTTGCAAACTCGGGGCTGCAGTTCCAGAAGCACGAGGAGGAAGGGATTGACACACTGCACTTCGCGGAGCTGCTCATGACGTCTGGAGTGGTTCTGTGTGACAATGTCAAGTGGCTCTCATTTCACAGGTCAGTCCCTGGGAACTATGGCTTGTCCCCTCCTCACAGCTTAGGTTCAAGGCTGGCCTGATGCTGCTTTCTGACACCCGCTTCCTTTTTCCCTTAGTGGTTATGATTTTGGCTACATGGTAAAGTTGCTTACAGATTCTCGGCTGCCAGAAGAAGAGCATGAGTTTTTTCACATCCTGAATCTTTTCTTCCCATCCATTTATGATGTGAAATACTTGATGAAGAGCTGCAAAAATCTTAAGGTAACAGATAGCATTCTCCTTAATTCTAGCAATAAAAGAAGCAAGCCCCCAATGCAGACTAGTTTTGCTTTAATGTTGTATTCAGCATGCTTTCTTTGAAGCCTGCCAGCCGCCAGACTTCTAGAGTGTTAATCGAGCTGAGTGGTACAGGGCTTGCTCTGTAGCTGTCTTTGTTGGTGACTTGGACATCAAAAAGCCCTATTTTTTGCATCCTGAGGCTGGCTGCCTTTCTCTTAGGCCTGAGAACCCCACAAAGTAGTTGGTAACATGAGGCAGTGTGTGGTACGACAGTCCTGCACTGCCCCACATTCTTGGAGGGGTTCCTAACTCTTCAAAAGTTCACATTGGGCCTGTGAGATGGCTCGGCCCGTGAAGGAGCCTGCTGCCAAACCTGATGGACCTGACTTTCTGTAACCCATGTGGTAGGAGAGACCCGGCATGTGCGCAAGTTGGCTTCTCATCTCTGCATGCACAAGGGCATGCAGCAGTGTATTGTTTGGAAAGAGGAAGAGTAAAGGTCTGAGAGATGGCTACTGAAGCCTGTTAGATGAATGGCCTGACCCACTGCTAAATAAACTCACTTAGTGGACTTAGCTGAGTCCGGGAGAATAGTGTTGCTATGTGACATCCCTGTTTTCTGTCCCTAGGGAGGCCTTCAGGAGGTGGCTGATCAGTTGGATTTGCAGAGGATTGGAAGGCAGCATCAAGCAGGCTCAGACTCTCTGCTGACAGGGATGGCTTTCTTCAGGATGAAAGAGGTGATACTCTAATGCAAGGGCCTCTTGACAGTGAGGCCTCTGGGTTTCAGGGTGCCACCCAGTCCTCCCCTGTATTTCCCTCTGCTTTCTAAAGAAGCAGTCTCTTTGTTAGTCTACCCACTAGGCTGAATTCTGTTAATTACTGAATATTATTTCTCTAGTGAAGGGTGATTTTTTTTAGTTTATTTACCTGCTCTTTAAATTTTAAAATAGCCATGTGGTGGTGCACGCCTGTAATCCCAGCACCCAGGGCGGCAGAGGCAGGCGCGGGTCTCTTAGTTTGAGGCCAGCCTGGTCTATAGACTGACTTCCATGATAGCCGGGCTACACAGAGAAACCCTGTCTTGTAAAACCAAACCAAAGATTTTAAAATATATTTGAAGAGGAAGAATATGCTTTGAAAAATTATAATGAAAGCTGGGCATGTTGGCACATGCCTTTAATCCCAGCACTCTGGGAGGCAGAGCCAGATGGGTCGCTGTGAGTTGAGGCCAATCTGGTCTACAAAGCAAGTCCAGGATAGCCAAAGCTACACAAAAAAACCCTGTCTTTACAAAAACAAAACAAAACAAAAAAAACAAAAAACAATTTTGTTGACATATATTTTTAAATTTTTATTTCTTTGTTTGGTTTGGTTTTCAACACAGGGTTTCTCTGTGTAGTGTTGGCTGTCCTGGAACTCTCTTTGTAGACCAGGCTGGCCTCCTCAAACTCAAGAGATTCACCTGCATCTGCCTCCCGTGTGCTGGGACCAAAGGCGTGTTCCCCACCATCCGGAAGATTATGTTGACATCTTGAGGAACAAATTGGATTAACATGTAGACATGACATGGATCTCATTTTAGAGTGGAGAAAATGGGGAAGAACAGTGTATTTCATTTTTAAGACATGGTCTCACTGTGTAGCCCTGGCTGGCTTTAAACTTATGTGAAGATTTGCCTGCTTTCCTCCTTTGCCTCTTGAGTACTGGGATTAAAGGCTTGTGGCTGTCTTTGAACCCATGGCTCTCCCTTTCCCTCAGCCTAAGGGCTAGGATTACAGCTGTGAGCTGCCATGCTTGGTTAGTAATTCTTTTTTTTTTTTTTTTTTAAAGAGTTATTTATTATTTATACAATATTCTGCCTGTACACCAGATCTTACTATAGATGGTTTTGAGCCACCATGTGGTTGCTGGGAATTAAACTCAGGACCTTTGGAGCAGCAAGTATTCTTAACCTCCGAGCCATCACTCTAGCCCAGTAATTCTTTTTTTGCTACTTTTAACCACTGTTCTGAGTTCAGGTACTTGTTGAAGTAGTTTTCTGAGGCCGTGACAAAATGCCATCAACTTCAAAGGACCAGTTTATTTTGGTTTACAGCTTGAGAGATTTTAGCCAGTGGTTGGGTGCCTCTGTTCTGGAAGGCAGAGCATCAGAATGCCAGTGCCTGGCAGAGGAGGTCTGTGGTCCTCTGGTGGCTTGGAAACAGGAAGAGGCTGAGTACGACCTCTTCAAGGTCGTATTAAGAGTCCTAGTAACTCTACATTTGGCATTAAGCCTTTAACATAAGGACTTCTAGGCCCATTTTAGTTGTAAAGAGTCACAGGTGTATTAGGTCAGCAGTTGCCAGCTGGCACATTAGGTGATACCTTGGAGATGTTCCTTATTCTATTTAGTGGTGGTGGTGCTTCTGGCCAGGGCTGTGCTCAGCATCTGCAGTGATCGGATCTGCAGGATCCAACAGCTTCTGTCCAGTGATATCAAGGCTGAGTTGCTTGCTGAGCGCTCAGTGTCTATTATCTCACAACGGCCACTTTCTGCCGCAGCTTCTCAGGTGCTAGGATTACATGTGTGTGCTATCACATGTGGTTTACATGACTTCATGAATAAGAAACCATGATGGAGTGGAGTTGAAGTGACTTGGCAAGCCTGAGTTTTTGATCAGTGCCTTGCTTGGCAGGATAGTCACTCTATAGCAACAGCCGAGGGTTTCCAGCAGTGACAAGTCACAGGAATGCCAAGTCACAAGTCCATTAGGAAGCAAGGCCCACATGTAGGGAAAGGAACAGGAAGAGCTTGTGGGGTAGGTGTTTGGTGTCTTTGCTGAGTTAGTGTCCAGTGTGCTGAGTGTCAGGGCATAAGAAGCTGGGAGGGGACATGACTCCTGACCCCATTCTCAGCTGGTTCTGTCCTGTTCTACAGCTATTCTTTGAGGACAGTATTGATGATGCCAAGTACTGTGGGCGCCTCTATGGCCTGGGCACGGGAGTGGCCCAGAAGCAGAATGAGGATGTAGACTCTGCCCAGGAGAAGATGAGCATCTTGGCCATGATCAACAACATGCAGCAGTGACAGTGTGTGCACCATGCCGCCTGTGCCACCTGCCCCAGCTGTCGACCTGCGTCTGCTCCAAGCAGAGACTTTGGGTTTTGTTTAAAGATGCCTGTATTTTAGGTCCAGAAGGAGGGGTTTACTCTGAATTTGTAAACAAGTCTTCCTTGTCCTCATGCCCACGCCCCTCTGCTGCCTCCTGCCACCAGCATCCATGGCTCCATGGACACCTTTTTAAATCTCCAGGATGTCTGAAACAAACCAGTAAAATGTGTATGACTCTTATGCGTTGTCATTTTTCTTCTTTGGCTTTGCTGCCCTGACGAAGATGCTCACATGAGTTGAGGTTGCCAGGGAACAAGGTTTGTGTTCTTGGGAAGCAGGTCTGTGTCAGCAGGCTTCCTGGCCTTGTCTCTGCTTCTGCAGGACAGTAGTCCTGACGTCACAGTAGACAATGGCTCTTGCTGAAATCTAGAGACATTTCTGAATCTGTCTCCTTTGGTGAGATTAAGCTGGCAACTAGCCTCACCTTGTCACCTTAGTTTTCAGATGTTGAACTGCCCTTGAGTGGATCATGCTCCCAGTCCATCTTGTTCTCGGCAGGGTGGTCTCGATCAGCTGTGTTCTCTTAGCCTCTGTCCCCTGCTTTTATTCAGTAAGCCTGCGATGTCAAGATTAGGTAAAGCTGAGCTCTGGAACTGGAGTCTTAGAAAGGAGGAGGAGTCATGTGTGAGCAGGGCAGCGTGGGCATTCACCTCAGACCTTGTCAGCCATTCCCACAGCTGTGCTCAGAACCCAGTGACTTTAAGGTTAGGCATTTATGAAGCAGTTTTTTAAATGACTCCAGAAAGACAGACGGCAGCAGCTCACTTGAGTGGTCTTACATTTTAAAAGCTTGTGGGAAATTGAATTTGAACTGATTACAAAATGTCAAGTATGAAAGCTGGTATTTAAGATGCTTGTAAATATTATTTATGTTTTTAATTTTGTAAAATAAAGATTGCTTTTTAACCATTGGCATGAGGTGTGGTCTTTGGTCACTGGGAACTAATGTCTGTGACAGGATGGGCTCATCTCAGGACCAATCTGAGCTATGGAATGGAAGGTCTCATTGAGGGAGCACACACCATCGCCTGGGCCAGCTGCTGGGCCTTAGCAGGACAGTAGAATAGCTACTCATGGAGTGCAATTCAGTAGGACACACTGAACTTAAGACTTCATGATTAAGGGGTTATTATTTTATTTTTTCCTTTCTGTTGGCACAAAAAGCCAAGTATTGGGGCCTTTCTAGAGTTTGAGTCAGGGTCTTATAACCTAGGCTGGCCCTGACCTCCACACCATCTCCTGAATGGCAAGCCGTGTACATCTGCACCACTGTACCTAACAGATGTAGAATTTTGACTGGCAGGTGAGAGATTCCTTGGGGTCCATGGTGAAGGCAGCATAGCAGCTCTCAGCAAAGGTGCCCTGGTGTGCTGCTGGGTTGAACTTGGCTTTTCTCAGCGGGCAGACTAACCTGTCTCAAGTACTGAGATGGGGAGTGGGACTGTAGTAAGCATTACAGTGATGTGCTAGAGGAAGGCACAAGTCTTTGAGAGCTGGCACGGCCTTCATTCATGGAAGTGCATGGCCGCGCAAGGGGCCAGTGTCTTCTGATGGAGATGGTGCTGGGGGAGATGAAGAGAACAGCCTTCGCGAGCAGTCAGCCCTGTGTGCTTCTGACCTTGGACTCCAGCAGATCTGTTAGTTTGCAAGGCTGGTTCTCAACTTTAAGCCTCTTGTCAGCCAATGCTGCCAGATGTGAGAGCCCGGGTTTCCAAATTACCAATGAGTGTCTCAGTTTACTAGTTTATTCAGCCAATGAGCTTTCAGTAGGTACCCACTAGCCACTCTTGTCGGTGTCAGGGTGGACAAGAGGGAGGGCACAGTCCTCCACTGCTGGTAGGAACCTACCTCGTTGGGACAGTAAATGGTTTACACAATTATAGTCAAAACAGTATAAAGTCACCAAGATTAAGATTTAGGGACAGGGAGTTATTTTATGCTGAGGTTAAGGGATGAGTAAGGTAGGCCATAACTGATGCAGGACAAGGTTCTCACAAGAGGCTGGGAGGTAAAGGTGCAGACCAGGAAGGAGTCACTGCTGGGGGAGTAGGGAGCTACTGAGAGCAGAGCTAGAGCATGCTGCAGCCAGTAAGAGGTGGGAGAAGGCACAGGGCTGTGCGGTGGTGCACACCTTTTATCCCAGCACTCAGGTGGCAGACGGGTGGATCTCTCCAGGCCAGCCAGGGCTACACAGAAAACTCTGGCTCGGGGGTTGGGGTTGAGATGTGGGAAGAGATAACAACTGGTAGAGACCAAATCACTTTAGATAGGGATAAGGCCTCCTCCCCCCAAAAGTAATACCTGCTTTCTGCTAGAACTTCAATGAATGCCTTTGCCTCTCTGGTTCTTTGTGATTTCCGTCATTAGGGATACAGAAATGATAATATTCAGGTTGAGAACAGGGTGACAGACATCATTGAGAAGAGCAATTTAGGAGGCAACAGTCGTTATTTTTCATTTTCCTATTGGGTAGTTTTACTTTAGGGTTGTGTTTTCTGTGTGTATGCATATGTACTTACTACGTGTATGCCTGGTGACTGTGGAAGTTAGAAGATGGTGTTGGATCCCCTGGAACTGGAGTTACAGATGTTTGTGAGCCACCATGTGGAGTTGAAATCGAACCCAGGTCCTGCGGAAGAACAGCCAATGCTCTTAACCCAAGCCGTTTCTCTAGCCTATTGGATCTTTGATACTATTTTTAAGACAACCTCTCCCTTCAAAGCCCAGGCTCGACTTGAATTCAATCTCTCCTGCCTCGGGGTCATCCCAAGCAGTGACAGGCACGTGTGCAGGACTGCTCCCAACAAGCATTTGTTTCAGCAAATCACAAAGGTGAATTTGTAGTTTACCAACTGTTCTTTATTTAAGCAGAGGGAACCAACTTTTCCCGCCTCTGTAGATGAAGCTGCTTGGAATTGTCCTGTAGTCATGCCTACTCACATCTTTGTCAAGACTTCTCTAAGACTAAAGCATCTTCTTTGAGTTCACATAATGGTAAGGTGTCTCCTTTTTGGGGGTTTAGCATTTTTTTTAGACTCCAAAGCTAGGCACACACAAATATCTTAGATGTGTGTTCCAAGGATTTCCAGCTGGGACTATTTCTTGCTGCCCAAAGACGAAACCTTCACAATGGCCCTCAGGGGAGCAGCAGAGGGATGATGTGCTTTTCCCACCTGACCTGAGCACGTCTACTTTTCCTGTCCTAGAAACCAGTGACCACAGAGGCATCAGTCTTGACCTAGCTTGCTGTGTTAGTAGCTTTGGCAGCAGGCCCAGGGCTGGTGAAAAAATAGAATTTAGTGGGAGTCTAATGACCTGGGAGGCACACGTAAAAGGAGGAATATGTATTGCTCTCCATGCTGTGTTTCAGTCAATTCTTAATAAAAGGGTTTTATGACCCTAAAGACTAAGAACCACTGAGAGTGATTTTTTTTTTCCCCGAGCTGTCTGACCAGTCATGTCACAACCTGGAGGGCAACAGATGGCCTCACTAGCTCTGTTCTCGGAAAGCTTTAGCCATTTGTCCATGTAACCAACTCCATAAAAAGTAACACGATGGACAAAGCTAATTCCTTTAGTTTTTGAGAGGTGGGCAAGCCCAGCTAACAATTAAGAACCCCAAACCCCAACAGTGATAGGCGCACGTCAAGTGTCCCTCCCACAGAATGAGACGCTTCTGATGGAGAGGATTTATAAAGGCAGCTGCATCTGGGGCAGACAGACTTTGGGTAAATACAAAGGCTTCTCTTTGGGGAACCCATGTAAGGCTAGAGCCAACAGTCTTGGCTAGTTCTGAGTGGCCCTGCTGGCTTTTCCCTCCATTCCAGGAAGCCACTTGGGAGGCACCAGGCAGGGTCCATTGTGAGTAGATTCAAGCATCCGTCACCCTCATCTGTCTGTTGGATCACAGCATCTTTCCACTGAGGGCCTGGTGATCTGTGACTGAGGGGAAGCTGTCACGAGTTGTGTAGCACAGCTTTCTGGCCTCTGGAAGTTCATGTGTGCAGTGTCTGGCAGTGTCTTCTGTAAGTTCTAGTGTGGCCATACTTCTGAAGGAGCTTCTGGGCCTGTTGCTGCATCTCAGGGCGCACAGCGCCAGGACACTGGGACCCGATGTGAAGCAAGACGAGGCAGCACTCCAACACATCTGGGAAGGGCCAGGCCTAAAAAATACAGGAAAGGCAAGGAAGTATCTGCAGAGCCACACGCTGACAACTGCACGCAGATAGGAATGAAAGTGGCACTGCTGGTGGCATGTCCTTATGGGTGAGTCTTCTCGTGCCCCAGATCAACTCTCACATGTCACAGTCCCTCCATGAGTGCTGGGCACAGCTACCATCTAACATCTGCGTTCAGTGTTTTCCTCTCAACCAAACGTAACTTGTTTGGTTTCCTCCAAGACTGAGCTGTGTGCTTTGTACTGCTACTTTCACAAATCACTTCAGGTAAGCAGAGATAACTGCATTTTTTTTTTTTTTTTGAGACAGGGATACTCTGTATAGCCTTGGCTGTCCTGGAACTCACTCTGTAGACCAGGCTGACCTCAAACTCATAGAGATCTGCCTGTCTCTGCCTCCCAAGTGCTAGGATTAAAGCGTGTACCAGCACACCAGCTTTCATATTATGAGAGTTTAGCAATACAGTGACAATAGATGTCGGTGGCTTCCCGGGTTCGTCCTGAAGCATCTCCAAATGCCCTTACCTTTATACTCTCTGGAACCTCAGCTATTCTCTCATTCGCCTCTGTGAGCCTTCTGGTTAATTCAGGGAGAGAGACTGGTGCATTTTTTTCTTCTCTGCTAGTAAGAATAACAATAAGCTGAAGTCACATAATGGTCACCTATTTTTTTACCCCAAATGTTTCAATTAAAAAAAAAATCCTTTTCCGGGCATGGTGGTGGTGCACGCCTTTAATCCCAGCACTCTGGGTGGCAGAGACAGGTGGATCGCCTGGTCTATAAAGCAAAGCAAGTCCAGGACAGCTAAGGCTCCACAGAAAAAACCCTGTATTGAAAAACCAAAAATGAAAAACAAAAACAAAAACAAAACTTTTTTATTGAACGTCTATTTGTGCACTTGTGATTGTACTTGCATGCCACAATGTGTTTATGCAGAGGCCAAAAGACAACTTTCAGGAAATGGTTCTCTCCCTCCACATTTTTAGGCCTGGTGGCAAGTGCCTTTACCCACTGAGCAACCTGCCCCCACCGCGGTTTTTATTGTGGTAAACAATAGTTAAAACCATGTCAACCTTCTAAGAACATCCACCCATCATGCTGTGTGACCATCACTACCACGCAGGCCCAGAACTTCTGAGTCAGTGTCTCACTGTGTGACCCTGACTGGCCTGGAACTTGACTTGTATACTAGGTTAGCCTCTGACTGGAGTTAAAGGCATTTACCACTACCAACTACACTCAGGACCAGGGCTCTGGGGGGCTGGACCTTGCCCTTCCACGACAATGTTTCATCTCTGCTCCCCGTTCTTGGCAGCACACACTCCTGTCTTGAAGGAATCGTTACGGCTTTTACCTTGTATGTGCCCCAATTTCCTCCCTTTGAAACAGGGAGCAGGACTTCATTTCTGCTAGTTTAGTCGCCTGTCCTTGGACACTGGGCTGCCTCCCCATCTCAATGCTATCACACAGTGCTGCAGATGTTTATACCAAGAGTGGATTTCAATCATTTCCTTATCCCTGCACTTATTTATTTAGACAGGATCTTTCTGTGTAGCCTGGACTGGCTTCAAGCTTGAGGTCCTTCGTGCTGGGATTACAGGCATGCAAAACATGTCAGGCTGCCCTGCTTTCAATTCTTTTGACACAGAAGCAGAACAGCTACATCTGACAGCCAGTCTCAGTTTCTGATTCCCAAGGAACTGGCATGGTGTTCTCACCAGGAACGAAGGTCCAA